CTACAGTTTAAAAACATATGATGAAATGCCCAGTGACCTAAGTTTCATTGATTTCAATAGATTTTTCTTTACATGGAAACAATTGAGGAGGAAGGATAGATGGATAAAAATGCCAAAAACAATCTAAACATCTGATCGATTGTGCAATCAACCATAATAATATCCCAAATATATCAAAGTTGAAAGATTATGGAATAAACCATGTGAGGCAGTCCAGTGGTTATCGACACACAGGGTGCCAAACCAAAATACCTTGGATAAAATTTAGAAAAATTGATCATTGACAAAATTTACATCTGTAAATTGCAAAATGCAACACTGCTTAGATAAGAACATATATTATGACAATGGGGGAAGAATTCAATGCGTGTGAAGGCAAATACCAGCTAAAGAACTGACAGCCATGATTTCACATTGTTGGCTATATAATAATAACACAAAACAATTGAATAAATCAGTTTTCAGTTTGTATTAGTTCCAGGTTTGATCATTCTTAGTTTTACAATGAAAATTTGATAGGAAATCAATTCATTAAACAGAAACCAGAGGATTGTGAAAAGAAAAATAATATTATAGCTCCTCCAATAACTAAAATCATATTTATATTGGAAAAACTCCAACTATTACCACTTGGATGCTGAAGAAAGGTTTTTTTTTTAATTTATAGATATTGGATAAGTGGAGATTTGAGGAAAATAATATGTTAGCCCTGAGTTACAAAAGACAAGTGCTAAAAATAATCATTTTGCAAATGCTTATAAAGAGGAAATTTGCTGAATACAATGAATCTTGCTTCTGAGTAAACATACAGGTTGTTTTTTTTCAAATTTAAGGTCAGAAATCCAGTTTTCAGTGAAGCAGAGACCTGGAAAAAAAAACAATAGAGAGGAAGAAAAGGGAATGGGAAAGGTAGATAAAATTCAAATTGAATATTAGAACATCATTACAGCAGCACCCGGCAGATCAAGAGAAACTAGGCTGAACAGAAGTATCTGGAACATAGATGGAAGAACATAGATGGAACATAGATCCAGATATCCAGAAATGGAAGCAGGGACATACACCCAAAAAGCACCTTTGAAGTTTCCATGATGGACCAGTTCCCCATTGCTTCAATAAAACTGCATAGATGTTCCAGATAGTCAGATAAGGTAACACTGAAGTTTTCCCTTTTTTTTTTTTACAACATTATCTACTATTTGGCTTCCCGGGGGAAGGGGAGTTGTGTTTGAAACAAGAATGGCTGAGGTTTGGTTTATTTGATTTTTATCCTGCCTTTATTACTTTATAAATAACTTAAACTGGAGAACATATTTAGTACTCCTTCCTCCTCCCATTTTCCCCATAACAACTCTATGAGGTGAGTTGGACTAAGAGAGAATAACTGGCCCAGTCACCAAGTTGATTTTCATGCCTAAAGCAGGATTAGAACTCACAGTCTCCTGCTGATTGGCCCAAAATCTGTCAGCTAGCTTTCATGCCTAAGGCGGGACTAGAACTCAGTCTCCTGCCGATCGGCCCAAAATCTGTCAGCTAGTTTTCATGCTTAAGGCGGGGCTAGAACTCAAATCTCCTGCCGATTGGCCTAAAGTTATCCTGCCAGACTTCGTGCCTAAGGCAGGATTAGAACTCAGTCTATTTCTAGGCCTACACCTAACCACTAGACCACACTGGTTCTTTGGTTTCCTTGACCTCCTTAGTACGATGTTTCACATGGAGGCCACAAAGTTTTGGACACTTTCTTGAAGCACTTTAGTATCTGAGATACCTTCTCAGTTCACCTGTATATTTTTATCCACCCTTAACCAAGCAAATTAGATTTAATGTTCCCGTTGATGGATAAAGGAATGTTCCTGGATTTCTGGCATGCCCCAGCCTTGGATAGGACCAGGAAAAGCCAGTTTCACATCCAGCCCCAAATTTTGATCCAATAATTCTTTTGCTCCAGCCGATTTCATAGGGTGATTTTTGTGAGGATAAAATAAAGGAACATTCAGACCACTTGAGTTCCTAGAGGTAACATGGCATATCAAAACCATAAATAACATTTTTTTAAAAAAACAAATTGCTATAGCCAAAAAAGAAGCACTGATACTATGGTTTGGGTTAAAACATTAATCCTGTGGTTAGAGTGTCACCAACAGAAGCAACCAGCCAATTTAGCAGGTTTTCAAAACTACCAAACCAGCCAAAGCCAAACCAGCTGAACCAGTTAAGAGGTATGAAATGGAAGCAGTCCCATAATTTGAGATCATTAATTTAAAATAATAATTATGTGTGATCAGATGTTATGAAGAGGATTCACCATCATGAAAAAATAATAATTGGGTTAGAAATTCTGTATTAGTCTAAATTGATCAATTTAAGCCCTTGTTAACAATTATTCTGTTTCAAATGCTTTCTCTATGAATAGACTGATTTACAGTTCTTTCTGTGTTCTATTGCTTCTGCTGTGGCAACAGGTATTACATGATCTAACTTAAGATTGGTAAATTAAAGAAGAACCAGTGGCTGTTTAATCTAAAATGTTTTCATAGACCATAAAATTCTATTATAAATTTAACAAGAATCAATAACTACGAGAATCCAGAGGATAGAGAAAGAAATATGAACATATGACTTGAAAAACTAAAAACTAGTCATCCGATCTCATAAGCAAAACATTTCCTCAGCTACAGGGGGAAACAACCCTACATAACGGACATCTATCCTGAAATTTCAGGCCATCTATTTTAATTCTAGACTTATTTCTTCTTTAAAAGTGTTTTTCAATCTTGGCAGCTTGAAGAGGTGTACTCAGCTCCCAGAATCCTCAAGGCAGCAAAGTGACTGGGGAATTCTGGGAGTTGAAGTCCACACATCTTGAAGTTACCAAGGGTGAGATTAAAGGTTCCCCTCGCACATATGTGCTAGTCGTTCCCGACTCTAGGGGGCCGTGCTCATCTCTGTTTCAAAGCCGAAGAGCCAGCGTTGTCCGAAGATGTCTCCACGGTCATGTGGCTGGCATGACTAAATGCCGAAGGCAAACGCTGTTACCTTCCCACCAAAGGTGGTCCCTATTTTTTCTACTTGCATTTTAACGTGCTTTCGAACTGCTAGGTTGGCAGAAGCTGGGACAAGTAATGGGAGCTCACTATGTTACACGGCGCTAGGGATTCGAACCACTGAACTGCTGACCTTTCTGATCAACAAGCTCAGCATCTTACCCACTGAGCCAACGCGTCCCTTATAAAGGGTGAGATTACACTGCTTTAAAAAATAAAAAGCCAAGTTGACTTTGTAGCAGCCTTAAATCGTTTACAGATTATCAAGTTGTCTTGGGCCGAAATCAATTTTTGTCCAAGATCACTCATCCATTTCTTGGGGGGGGGGGGGATTTAAATCATAACATTGATATTGCTTCCTGTGATTAGATTGACTGTTCCAGTATTATTATTATTTTAAAGACCCACTATATTCATCAACTTTTAATTATAAATTCTGACTGCTGTACACTTGGATCAAGGGTGAAATGCTACCAGTTTGGACTGATTCGCTCAAAATGGTAGTAAAAATGCTACTGGTTCGCCCGAACTGGTAGTAAAAAAATGTTAATGGTTCCAGCGAACCGGTATTTCTGACGATCAGCTAATATATATTTATATTAGCTAGAAAGCAGCATTTCCTGATTTCTACTTAATCTAAATTGTGTGGCACAGCGGATTTCCTGCCCCCTTGCTGTCCGCTTACATTTGCAAATACGCTCGGTAGCAGGCTCCGCCCACCTGCCCGGATGTCATCACGCCCTTTTGACACTCTGCACATATGCATGGAAGGTCCTGCATATGCATGGAGGTGCCCCATCCAAGCAATGTGAGCGTGCGCACATGTGCTCACATTGCTACTGAACCAGTAACAAAGGTAAGTTGATTTCACCCCTGACCTGGATCCAAATGAGGCATCCACCATATCTCTGAAACTGTCTGGAATAAGCCAACCATCATTTATTTACCATCTCTACAATATGAGACTGGCAATATAGAAAGATTGGAATATTCAGAACTTTATCAAGGAGATAAATCGTAAATGCTGCCTAGACCTATCCCTTTCAGCAAACAATCAACATACTTTGCTATGTAAGGTTTTATTCCAAGGAGCAGAAATCTATGGTGTGGGAGATGTGTTTATTTATTAAATGTATATATGCTGCCCATCTGGCTAGAAGATGCCCGCATCTGAGTATTCTGATTTATAGATACCATCTGGTGGCATGAAAGTAGCAACGTAATCTTTGTTGGAGGAAGACTGTAAGTCGAAACCTCCAAATTGCCATCAAATATACAATAAAACAAACCCGATCAATACAGAATGCAAAATTGCCAATGACAAGAAGCCATCATTTGGCGAGAAAGGGCAATTTTCATTTGATCAAAAGGTCTCTCTTCATGATTTTCAAGAAACCTGTTTGCAGTGGGGTAAGTTTTTCTGAGAAGCACTAAAATATGCCAGAGAAAGAAATGGATTCTGAAAAAAAAAACCTCATTTTCTTTTTCTATCAATTTTTTTCACACCCAGGGTTTTCATGGACTTCAATTCCCAGGATTCAATTCTGGGCGTTGAAACCCACACATCTTAAAGTTGCCAAATTCGAAAAAACACTGCTCTAAACTGATCATGAATCCCAGTTCAAGTCATTTCCACTTCCGTTCATCCATTACAGATGACAGAAATTTGAGTTCACATCATTCTTGAGTTTTTTGCCTGTTGGGAAGGAGGGAGGGAGGAAGATAGGAAGAAAAAGATAGAAGGAAGGAAGGAAGGAAGGTAGGTTGGAGGGAGAGAGGGAGGGAGGGAGAGAAGGAAGGAAGAAGATAGAAAGAAGGAGGGAAAGGGACGAAGGGAAGGGACGAAGGAAAGGGAGGGAGGGAACGAAGATAGGAAGGAAGGGAAGAAAGGAAGGAGTGGGAGGGAGAAAAGAAAAGGGGGAAGGGAATGAAATGGAAGGGAAAGGGAAGGGGAAAGGGAAAGGAAGGGGAAAATAAAGGGTAAAGGAGGAAGGAAAGGAAATTTGCTTTATTTTATGGATAGAGAAGTATTATAAGGGTTTCTCATCTTGCATATCTGCCAAACAACACATTCTCTTTCAGTTCTGTTTTATCTCTACATCCCATCCATAGAGTAATGTCTGTGTCTTATCTCCATCAGAAGCAACCTTCCCCAACCTGGTGCTCTCTGGGACTATGGTTCCCATAATTCCTAGCTGACAACTGTCCTCTGATTGGCAGACTTCAAAAACCACAATTGCATCGAAGGGCCCCACAGCTCAATAGGCCTGTGTGCCAGGAGGGAAAGCATAAACATGGCCACTGCTACAAGTCATACTGACATGACCTGCAATTTCAGGGCATCAAGACTTCTCCACCGTGTGGTTCTGGAGATGGTGCAGCAGAAGTGAACTGTTTCTGGAAATCTTCCTGGGCTCAGAACGCACAAAATATCTGCCTTTATCTGGTCGTATGTGGTGCTGGGTCAACAGACCACCAGAGCAGGGAGATTTACCCAAGTCAAGATTGAAATAGGACTCTGAGGTCTCCAAGGCATCAGCCAAGGTCTGCTTTCCATCAGCTCCATGGTCCTTGGGCCGTAGCAACATGCTCCTTTCAGAGATATGGTTCTCTCTCTGCAGAAGGATGGCTGAGAACCCTGTGAAGTTCTCCCCAAGTTCTGGGCTCCCCCTGTCTTTGCTACAATTCTCTTTTGGGGATGATGATGGGACATGGGCCCCTCTGTGTTTCTCCACCCTGTGGTCCATCTGGTGCTGGATCAGAGCCCACCTTTCCGGGAAGCCCTGCCCACATTCAGGGCACTTCAGCAAACGTTCCTTTGTGTGGCCGATCTGGTGATGAGACAAGCCGGACGCAGCGGCAAAACTCTGCTCGCACTCGTGACACTTGTAGGGCTTGGTGCTCGACTGTTGGATGAGGGCAGTCATTACTGTTGATACCGGAGAAGACTTGTCTAGGATTCTACTCTTTGGAGAGATCCGAGCACGGATAGAGGCTTCTTTGAAAGAAGAAGCATCTAAGGGACTCTTGACTCTACAGCCATCCTGTGGGTGCAAGCAGGACTCATCTTCTTGTAAGGAAGGAGATGAATGGCTCTGTGGAAGCCCACCAGAGGGTCCCACGGGGATTCTCTGAGGTTTATTGTTGGAAGTGTTGTCATCCGTGATGGTTCCTTGGTGGGCAGAAAGACCTGAGGAGCAACAGAACAGCTGACCTTCCAATGGTTTTCCCTGATTGAAGCTAGAGAAAGCACTTTCACTGGAAGTCTCTTCTTCTGCGAAGACTTCTTGAGGGTCAATGAGAGCTGTATCAGAAGGCTCCTGGGTCTGATTCTTCTGATGTACAGCAATGTCTAACTCAGGACTGGAAGCTTCTTTGGGTTGAAGACGTTCATGAACTTTGTCCCCCAGCTGCCTCTCCTGGCGGAGTGTAAGAGCTGAGGTGTCCACCACAGGCTGACCACACTCCAAACACTGATCCAGATTCCCACACTTCTGTTCCCTCTGGTGGCAAGTCAGGGCCAACACATCTCCAAAATCCTGTTCGCATTCAGAACATTGGTACAATTTCTCTTGCCTGAAATTGACCTCACCATGCCCTTGTTCAGAGCAGACAAGAGATCTCCTGTGACTCTGCTGATGACTCCCTAGGATTGAGACATCCTTGCAGCTTTTCCCACATTCAAGACGAACCCAAGCTCCCTGGGCTTCCTCTGGCTCCATGAGGTCTCTCTCCGCAACCTTGGAATTGATGCATGGCAGGACCTTGGGGGGTTCTTGGACCAACGAACGCTTCATATTTTCCTTGCCCTTCCTGCTTCTCTCATGCTGCCCCTCTCTTTTGCGGTCAATCAGTTTCACCCTACATGGCCTACTAATGGGCAGTGAATGGGTTTCTTCATGCTCAACCAGAGCCACACTATCCCTGCACATCTGTCCACATGTGCCACATATCCAAGATTCATGATCCTCCTGATGGCAAGCCAAGGTTCCGGCATCATCGAAGCTCCTCCCACACTCCGTGCAGATATAAGAAGTGTGGCTCTCCTCGTGCTGTGCTAACGTTTCAGCATCTTGGAAGCTCTGCTCACAAATATTACAAAGGTGAACAGCATGGCGGCTCTGAAGCTGCTCCACTCCTCCAGCATCTTTGCTGTCCAGACGACACATGGCACATGTTACGCTGCTGTTTTCTGAATGTTCCTGCATGGGGGCATCATCCTCAGGGCTGCTGCCATACAGGTCCTCTACAGAGGAAACACTTCTGTCTGGTTCTTTGGCCTTTCTTTTCTCCTTGCACTTCCCATTCTCTTCCTGCTGGTGGCGCTGCAGTTCCTCCTCCAGGGCAAAGCGCTGCCCGCAGCCATGGCAGACGTGGGGCCGTTCCTCCATGTGGATGCGCTGGTGAGTGATGAGGTTGGAGCTTTGGGAGAAACGCCGGCCGCATTCCTCGCAATGGTACGGCCGTTCACCAGTGTGCGTTCGACGGTGCTGGGTGAGGTGCGAGCTTCGGACAAAGGCCTTCCCGCAGTCCAAACACGCGTAAGGCTTCTCACCCGTGTGGATGCGCTGGTGGCGGATGAGGGTGGAGCTCATGCCAAAGCACTTGCCGCAATCGGCACATCGGTATGGTTTCTCGCCCCGGTGGATACGAGCGTGCAAAGTGAGGTTGGAGGCTAAGGAGAAACTCTGTCCACATTCCCCGCAAGCGTACGGGCGGCTTTCACTGTGGCACCGCCGGTGGCGCTCTAGTGCAGAGCTGAGTCCAAAAGTCTTGCCACAGTCTGCACAGCGGTAGGGCTCCACCCCCATGTGAAGCCGCTGGTGCTTGACCAGGGTGGCACCATGGCCAAAGCGTTTGCCGCATTCCTGGCACTGGTAGGGCTTCTCCCCCGAGTGAGTCCGCTGGTGCTGGATGAGCTCCGAGCTCTGAATGAAGGTCTTGCCACAGTCATTGCAACGGAAGGGTTTCTCTCCAGCATGGATCTTACGATGTTTGACCAAGTTGGCGCTCTGTGTAAATCCTTTCCCGCACTCTTCGCACTTGAAAGGGCGTTCGCCAGTGTGTGTGATCTGGTGTTGAATGAGATCGGAAGAGCGGTAGAAGCTTTTGGGGCACTCGGGACAACGGTAGGGCTTCTCGCCGGTGTGGCTACGTTGGTGCTTGATGAGGTTGGTGCTCTGCGAGAAGGCCTTGCCGCACTCCCGGCAGACATACGGCTTCTCCCCAGTGTGGGTGCGCTGATGCTGGGCCAGGTTGGAGCTCCAAGAAAAGGCCTTGCCACAGTCCTGGCAGACGTAAGGCTTTTCGCCCGTGTGCGTCCGCCGGTGCTGAACCAGGTGGGAGCTCTGAGTAAAAGACTTTCCACAGTCTGTGCAGGTGTTGGGACGCTCGCCTGTGTGGATACGCCGGTGGCGCACTAGCTTGGACCACTGGCTGAATGCCTTCCCACATTCGCTGCAGGGGTAAGGGCGCTCTCCCTTCCCTCGGGATACAGGGGCTACATTGACTGCAGGCACGTTGTCCTGTTCCATGTGGCTGCTGGGCTCAATGCTCAGGACAATCTCCCCTTCCTCTTCATTCAGGGGCAATGCTATAATCCACGGCCTGGGGAAATGTAAAGACAAGACCAGATAAAAATCAGAAAAACAGCAGTCTTGGCAAATTTAAGTTTTCCACATCCAACTGTGTGTCATCCAGAAGACCAAGCTGACTCGGCTCTCCCACTAGGGTGAGGACATTCTGGAGCAGAAGTTGCCTTGAACAGTCAGGCTCAGCACTATCTGCTAAAAGCCATAATGATAGCAGAACAGCGACTGGTGCCATCGTGTCATTCCACAAAGGACATAGAATTTCAATTGTGTCATGATAAAGCTAGTACATAAGGTGCGTCCTTTGCAAGATGACATCATGACTCATGTCATAATTTGCTCAAGTAATCTAGATTCCCAAGTATTGGGTATTGGTCTTTCTATACCAGGGGTCCCCAAATTATGGTGAACGGGCTGAAGCCATTAATTCAGCCCGCACAGGACCTCGAGGCTGTCCTGCCCACATCTCCCCACCTACCCACTGGCCCCCACCCACCTTCTGGGGACCCAAGTATGGTATTCTACTTGTTTGGACCGGTAGCAGAAATCGCAGATGGCTCTGCGGCCTATTTAGGCCATTAATTTTGCCTAAAGCACATGCGTGGAAATGTGAGTCCACGCTCACATTTGCGAACCGATACAGAAGGTAAATGTATACTACCCCTGCCGAGGAGGCCAAAAACGGGATGCATGGAGGTGTCAGGGGGCCAAACACAGGCCTGCTTTTGGGTGGCAGAGTGGTTCTGGAGGCCTCCACATGGTGGGTGGGGGCCGGCGGGTAGATGGGGCAATGTGGGTGAGGCAGCCTCATGTTCCTATGTGGGCTGGATTAATCCAGCCACATCCCTTCACTAACCTGCTTCCCACCCCCAGGAGCATAACAAATTAAAGTTTAATTTGGGTGTATTGTTTAATGGACTGCTACAGTGGCCACGCCCACCAAGTCACATGGCCACCTAGCCATGCCCACCCAGTCAGTCCAGTCCCGCTAAGTGTCTGAGGGACCATGAATTGTCCCCCTGTTTAAAAAGTTTGAGGACCCCTGTTCTAGACTGTGGCCGACTTGGGAATTCTAGGAGTTGAAGTCCACATGTCATTAAAGTCATAAAGTCATAAAAGTCCATAAATCATAGAGGGCTCATGGTTCTAAGACTCTAAGATTCTTCTGAATCAGCGTTTCACAATCTTGGCACCTTGAAAAGATGTGGACTTCAACTCCCAGAATTCCCCAAGATGTGGGAGTTGAACCTCACATTATCTTCATGTCACCCAATTTGAGAAACATTGGTCTGAACACTTATAAGGCAGGGTAAGAGAAAGGTAGAGACCGGAGGTGGGTTCCTACCAGTTCGCACCTATTCGGTAGAACCGGTTCATCAAATCTACTGAACCAGTTAGAAGAGGTTCCACCAGTGGACCCAGAAGCAGGCCACACCTACAGAAGAGGTTCCAAAAATTTTTGAAACCCACCACTGGTAGAGACAGTTGGTATCCAAACCCTTCCTTCAGTACCCGTAAGATTCCTGGTCATCTCTCCTGCATTTTTTAAAATACTATTTTAATTTTTAGAAAACAAAACATGAAACTGGTATGCTGCCAGATAAATCACTATGCTCAACCATCAGATTCATTTATAGAAATGGTCCATTATAGGGCAGAAAATATTCAGGATTACTCCAACTTCTGGTAAACAGAAATCTTACACCTTACAGGATGACCATGGCGGCCATTTTATGAACAAATAAAACTTCCACAGCAACTGTTGTCTTTCAGTAGCCACCAGTTAAAATTCCAAACATGCTCTGACTCCTCAAAGTTGCCTCTGTATTGTGTTATTGTGTTAAAGAAGGTGCCAAGTTTGACAATATTAAGACTTGTGGACTTCAACTCCGAGAATTCCTTAGCCAACAAGGCTGGCTGGCTGCAGAATTCTGGGAGTTGAAATCCACAAGTTTTAATGTTGCCAAGGTTGGCAGCCCTGTGTCAAAATGCCTCCTAACTAGACATTTGAAACCCAATTGTGTTTTGATCCACTGTTCTTGAAGTACCAGGCATCCAAGGCCACATAAAACACTCAACTCAGCTATTGTGTCTCATTCTGATTGGCTGCAGCTGCTCTCTCATCTCAGATTTAGCTCTTACTCATCTTCTGGTGGAACCTCTTCCAGCTTCATTCTAAGATAGATATAGATAAATAGATATAGCTATAGCTATATATAGAGATAGGAGAGATATCTATCTACCGTATTTTTCAGAGTGTAAGACACACCTCCCCCCCCCGCCCCTAAAAGAATGTGGAAATATTGATGCATCTTATACAACGAATACAGCCATTTTTGGCCTCCTGAAGCCCCACCCCCACATCCCATTTTTGCAAAAATCGGGCTGGTGTTGTTGTTTTTTTGCAAAAACAGAGGGGTTTTTGCCTTCCTCCAGGCCCCAGAAGCACTCTGCAGGCTTCAGCAGGGCTGGAGCAAGGCAAAAATGCACATGTTTTTGTGAAAAACAGGCCATTTTCTGCAAAAATGGGAGCAGTTTTGCCTTCTCCCCCAGCCCTGCTGAAGCCTGCACAGTGCTCCTGGGGACCGGGAAGGACAAAACCTTTTTATTCCTACTTACCTCTTCAAAATCTTGTTGCGTCTTGTACACCAGTGCATCTTATAGTTCCTAAAATACGGTGTTTATCTATCTATCTATCTATCTATCTATCTATCTATCTATCTATCTATCTATCTATCTATCTATCTATCTATCTATCTCCCCACCCCACCGTCTCTTTCTTTCTCACCTGCATAGGGGATTCTCAGGGATTCCTCTGTTTCCAAACTTCTAGGATCAGTCAAGTCTACCTTCTGGGATCCTGTGCAAGAAGCAATTTCTAGAGGAACTGGAAATACACAAGCAAAATGGTAAACTTGAAGCTTAACCAGGAGACTGACCAATACTCTTAACAGTTGGTCAGGGCTACATTGTGCCCTGAGAAGAGACCAGCAAGAATATCCCAAAGGTGCTTTTTCAGGAGGCAGATGGACTTTCTGGTCTTTCTTTGAAGACATTTCTCTTCTCATCCAAGAAGCTTCTTCAGCTCTGACTGGATGGATGGTGGGGAGATGGATGAGAAGCGAAATGTCTTCAAAGAAAAACCAGAAAGTCCAGTTGCCTCTTGAAAAAGGACCTTTGGGGCAATGACCAGGATGACTGAGAATCTCCATAGATATCAGCAAGAATAGAAACAAAGTCCCGTGTGGGTTTTCTTCCTACTATACAGCTGCAAGGAAATCTGGGCGGGTGCAGGAAGGATGAGGGGCTTGGTTTTATTATTTATTTAATGCATTTCCATAATACTTCCTTGAAAAATGTAATTTCCAAGCACTTTCCAAAACTCACTCACTCACTCTCCCTCCCTCCCTCCATATATATATATGGTTGTCTGTCTGTCTGTGTGTGTGTGTGTGTGTGTGTGTGTGTGTGTGTGTGTGTGTGTGTTTCAGCATAACTCTGGAACGCCTCAAGCAATTTCAACCAAACTTGGCACACAGATGACTTACTCTCTGGAAAAAAAATACTGTGGGGGTGAGACACCCCTAACATCGCTTGGGATGTGTATTCTGTTAAAATAGAGCCTGCTGGGCCTTAAAATGGCTTCTACCATACTGCCATAAAACGGTTTCTACTGTACAGCGCCATGGAGTTGCCATGGTAACAGTTTCATAGTACTCCATAAGGGGGCTCCTTCCGGAAAGGGGGAAAAGTCAACATTAGAAATTACGTTTGGTCTAGACATTTTCAACAAAATCAGGGCTTTTCCTGTCTAATACAAGATTAGGATAAATCAGCTAGTAAAAAATAATATATGCTGTATCAAAACAATACAAAAACCACTCAATTAAAAAGGTGCAGATGAGAGCCATTCATCTAATATTCATCAATGGGATATGGTCTTCATAGAATCATAGAAATTCTTTATTGGCCAAGTGTGATTGGACATACAACTTCTCTCTGGTGCATAAGCTTGCAGTGTACATACAGGTAATCCTCGACCTACAACCACAATTTAGCCCAAATTTTCTGTTTGTTAAGTGAGACATTTATTGAGTTTCCCCCCACATTTTAATAACTTCTCTTGCCATGGCTGTTAAGTGAATCAACCCACTTGATAAGTTACTAACCCAGTTGTTAAGTGAACCTCGCTACCCCATTGACTTTGTGTTTTCGGGAGGGGTGGGGGCTGCACCAAGGGAGGCTCATTCAATTTCATTGTACACATGTTGTGCATTGACAATAAAGGTTTGATTTGACTTGTCAGAAGATCCCAAATAATGTCCCAGGGACACAACAAAAGTCATAAATATGAACTAGTTGCCAAGTGTCTGAATGTTGATCCCATAATCTTGGAAATGTTGCAAAAGTTGTAACCAGTGGTGGGATTCACTTACCTTCACTACTGGTTCGTAAATGTGAGTGCATTCACTAAAAAAATGACATGACCCTTTTTCAATCTAACGACCCTTGCAGAATCCCTATGGTCACGACACTTAGTTACCTGCATTTTCTTAATCTACTTCTCTTTTCTTTCCCTTTGTTGTGGACCGCCAGCTGTTAGCGGAGCTAGCGGCAGACTCGGACGATGAGGAGGTTGGGGAGGAACTTGGACCCATTCTGGGGAAGGCTCTGATGAATGTTCTGCATTGGATGCAGAGCCAGAGCCAGGGCCGGAGAGGCAGCTGTCTTTGGATGCTGATATGTGAGGAGGAAGAACAGCTGGGGCCTGTTCCAGAGGCACGTATGCGCAGAGCAGAGCAGTTAGAAGAGGTGAGCAATGGAAAACAAAAGAATCGACTCAGGAAGCAAAGCACACGTGGATGCTGAATGGCCCTTCCCTGGCTGGGGAATAAATAGAAGGAAACGGGAGTGGTTGTCATAGGAGACAACAGTTCGTATTTCTGAAGATTTTGCTCATTGTGTTTAGAGTCACAAAAACTGCGGCAGGCCTCACCTGTTCCCCCCCCCCCCCCGCGCAGCCCTAGCCTAGCACAGCAGGCCGCAGGCCAAATAAATTTCTTCTGCCTGGGGAGGGCGTAGTTTGAGGTCAGAGGGGAGTGGTGGCGTGCAGGTGGAGCCTGGAGCAAGACCCAAGCCGATTAATGGAGCATCCCTGGCCCCTGACCCGAGGGGAAAGGAGAGCAGGCGGCATTCTTACCTTTGCTGAGCTGAGAGGGCAAGGCACGGAGGCAAGGCGTGGGGATTAGCTGGGCTGTGTGGCAAAAGCAAAATATATAGGGCGGGGTGGTATGGGCCAGCTAGAGGTGGTATTTGCCGGTTCTCCAAACGACTCGAAATTTCTGCTACCAGTTCGCCCGAACTAGTCCAAACTAGGCTGGATACCACCTCTGAAGTAGTTCTACGCACATTGACTTAATTTCCTTTACAAAGGGCAGGATATAAATCGTACCAATAAATAGAGAACCTTTTGAAAGACAAATAGAAATAATCCCATGGGTCTTTTTTTTTTTTTCATTTTTATTTTGTAGATTGAATGATCAGTAGGTCTTAATTACCTATGGAGATTCTCAGTCATCTGGCTTACGGTTGTCCCAAAGGTGCTTTTTCAAAAGGCAATTGGACTTTCTTTGTTTTTCTTGGATGAGAAGCGAAATGTCTTCGAGGAAAAAACAAAGAAAGTCCAGTTGCTTTTTGAAAAAGCACATTTGGGACAGTAGGTCTTAAATTTCCTACGATCACAATCCTGGAACTACCAGATCTGCCTTGCAAAATAAAAATAAAAAAATATCCAATCACCAACATCCATGAGATATAGAAAACTATGTCTTTGCTGCCCCCAGTGGTTGGATGGATTTTTGCAGGTATGGTCATCCTAAACCCATGATAGCAAACCTATGGCACGTGGGCCAGAAGTAGCACGCAGAGCCATCTCTCTGGGTACACGAGCTGTCACCCGTTGCTCTTCCGGATTCCAGTGTGCCGGCCAACTAGTCTTCACATGCGCAGGAGCGCAAAAAAACCCAGAAAACTAGCATCCGGGTGTGCATGCGCACACTGGGAAAATAATCTTCTGATTTCCTACGTGTGCATGCATACTGGCCAGCTGGTCTTCGCATGAGCATGCATGCCAGAAACCATAAAACCAGGTGGCCGGTGCACATGCACGTTCCAGAAACCAGATCATCTTCCCAGCGCGCACATGTATAACGGGCAGGTGCTCTTTTAGTTTCTGGAAAACGCACACATGCGCACTCCCGTTACGGCACGGTGCCAAAAAGGTTTGCCAATTGTCCTAAACTCTTCTAAACATTTTTGACAGAAGCCAACATAGCTGACCTCTGTGCCCCTTGCCCTCCCTTTGTTGCAAGATAGGTACTTAAATATAATAAACTACTGGAGGTAAATACATGCACAAATCCACAGGAAGCCCAGAAAACATGACAGATGGGAGGCCAAATGCTAGTGACATGGGAAGTTTTATCTCCCTGCCATGGTGCAATTCAGCAGAGCACTTTATTTCCCATCACAAGAAATCTTAGAAAATAATTAAAAGGATGTCATTTCAATTAGGGTGACATTAAAGAAATCCTTTGTTTTTAAAAAAAACCTCCCTAGGTTTCTTCTTCATTTTCAGATACTAGCTTTCCACCATGAAGTTATGTTCAGAGTAGCTCAAAGCATAAAAATAATACAGATAGTCCTCAACTTACAACAGTTCATTTAGTGACGATTCAAAGTTCAAGTGTGAAAAACAATTATAAGTCAGTGATGTTGTAGCACTGACTTATAATTGGTTTTTCACATTTGACCGTTACAGAATCCCCATGGTCATGTGATCAAAATTCAGACCGTTGGCAACTGATTCATATTTATGACGGCTGCAGTATCCCAGGGTCATGTGATCACTTTTTGCAACCTTTTTACAAAGCTAGTGGGAAAGCTAGATTCACTTTACAACCATGTTACTAACTTAACAACTGCAGTGATTCACTTAACATCTGTGGCAAGAATAGTCCTAAAATGGAGCAAAATTCACTTAACTGTCTCGCTTAGGAAGAGAAATACTGGACTCAATTGTGGTCGTAAATCGAGTACTACCTGTAATATACAAGTATAATAAAGTCTCGTATTAAATATGACAACATTGGGAACAGGCATTTATTTTTAGGATATGTGTATCTAGCGAAAGTAAAGGTAAAGTAAGAAAGATACCATGTAGGTATCTTAGTCAGCAGTTTGGGTATGGCTTTTCAACTGCCTATTTCCCAGAAATTTGTTTAATTCTGCAGTCTAATCAGGGGTTTTCCCTCCTAGTGGTCTCCCATCCAGCCCTGCTGGATGGGAGACCACTAGGGGGGGAAAACCCCAATTAAAGATGAGCCAAGATACACAGCATTTTCCATCTATTTAGTCTAAGCCAGAAATACTTGCATATTCCATTCCATCTTTTTTTAGACTTTTTTAATCCCATATTTTTTTATAAATAACTCAAAGCAGCGAACATACCTAATATAGGTTGTCCTTGACTTGCGACCATATTTGAGCCCCAAATTTCTTTTGCTAAGCAAGACAGCTGTTGGGTTTTGCTCCATTTTACAACCTTTTGTGCCACAGTTGTTAAGAGAATCACTGCACTTATTAAGTTAGAAATTTGGTTGCTAAGTGAATCAGGCTTCCCCATTTAACTTTGCTTGTGAGAAGGTTGCAAAAGGCGATATGACCCTGGGACACTGCAAGCATCATAAATATGAGCTAATTCCAAGCATTCGAATTTTGATCATGTGACCATAGGGGACGCTGCAACGGTCATAAGTCAGTTTTTTCAATGCTGTTGTAACTTGGAACGGTCACTAAACAAATGGTTGTAAGTTGAAAGCTACCTATACTCCTTCCTCTGCCTATTTTCTCCACAAAAACCACTCTGTGAGGTAGCAATAGCAATAGCAGTAGACTTATATACCGCTTCATAGGCCTTTCAGGCCTCTCTAAGCGGTTTACAGAGAGTCAGCATATTGCCCCCAACAACCTGGGTCCTCATTTTACCCACCTCGGAAGGATGGAAGGCTGAGTCAACCCAGGTGAATTGGACTGAGAGGAATGATTGGCCCAATGTCACCCAACTGCTTTTTTATGCCTGAGGCAGGATTAGAACTCAGTGTCTCCTAGTTTTTAGCCTGCTGCCTTAACCACTAGACCAAACTGGCCTTAAATGTATATATATGTAATGGCTGTGTGGATGTATGTTCCAGCATAATTCTGGATTGCCTCAAGCAATTTCAACCAAACTTGGTACACAGATGATTTACTCTCTGGAAACAAATACTCTGGGGATAAGATATCCTTAATGCTCTTCGGAGTGTGTGTTCTCTTAAGATAAAGCCTGTTGTGCTTTAAAATGGCTTCTACTGTACTGCCGTAAAATGGCTTCTACTGTACAGCGCAGTAGAGTTGCCATGGTAACAGCTTCATGGTACTCCATAAGGGGGTTCCCTCTGGTAAGGGGGAAAATCCAACATTAGAAATTATGTTTGGTCCGGACATTTTCCCCCTATAAATAAATACCCGGGCAACGCCGGGTTATCAACTAGTAATAAATAAATCTTCCTTAAATAATCCAATTGCCTCAGCTTAAGCAACTCAAAATAGCAAAAAAAGTCCTCAGCAAAATAGATGCACAAAGTCATGTCAGCTAACTCTTCAAAGGATATACAGTTAACAAGATTGTCCTCTTTCCTGCTTCTGTTTAGGAGGTTATTCTTAAAAGGGAATTGCTGCAACCGAGATCTGTTGGAAATTTCCTCTGTAGAAGAGCCAAATCCAGATAAGGCATACCCAATTTTTAACACTGGAAATAATTGCTGACAAATTCAGTTAATACCCTCCTTAAGAGTTACAGAAATGATTCTCAATAGTGCCATGAATGAATGTTAGAAGCAGATTGGAATGATTTTTCAAGTTTGGGAACTTTTAAGATCTGCAGATCCAACTCCCAGGATTCCCCACTATGTATGCAAGCAGTTTTGACTGGCTGCTCCTAGGGAATTCTGGGAGTTGAAGTCCATACCTCTTAAGGAGACACTGGTCTGAGGAGACAACAAGGGCAGTTACAGAAAGTTTAGTTAAATCCTTAAAGCGGATTAAAAATAACAGGATGCCTGTAATCTTTAGTGGATGAAGAGGGTTCCTCTTATGATGGGGGATGCAAATTATCCAACCCACAGCCTCTGTGGAACTTAAAGCAGGAAGGGTTTGCACTCTTAGCCTTTAGTCTAGCCCCACTTTGCAAGCAGAGGAAACAAAAATGAATCAAGCTGTCCCAGGGAAGAACAGCAATCATAAAAAGATTAGAAGGGATATAGGCAAACAGACCAAGAGTCAGCCCGTCCCTGAATTTTGGCTTACTGGACCCCTGAACCCCATGCAACAGGTCTTAAAGGAAAGGAGTCTTGAAGACAACACGCCCCTCTGGAAAGCAGGGCCTCAGACTGAAGATTTCTCAAGCCCTGGTATCCAAAATATTTTGCAATTGGACTTTCTGGAAGGAAAACAGGGTTCTTTCAACCTCTCCAAACAATCAAGACAGCAAGGTAAATGTCCCCAAAAAAAAAAAACTGGATTGGCACTAATTGCAAGAACTTCACTGATCATTGAGCAAAGAAGGTAGTGCCACTGAAGGCACTGTCCTAAATTTTAAGTGTTTTAAGATTTGTTGTTCTTTTTAAATTTTATATTCATGTAAATGTATAAATTTTAACAGCAAAGAAAAACCCCAGAGAAAGAAAGGGGGGTGGGGTTTGAAGAAGCAAGAATGTTTAGGGATCAGCCAAGCAGATTCTTACAAATGCTTATAATCCCGAAGGGTTTATATAATTGTTGGTGTGCAATCCCCATTTCAGTTAAAATTAAAGCAACATACTTTACAAACACGAAAAGCCCTCTAAAATTTATAAAACTTCAGAAACCGTACAGGAGAGAGAAACAAAATAGCCTTAGACACATACTATCAGTTACTATGAACTACAAAATTTTCTTAAGCAGTAGTCAGAAATCTTGCAAAAAAAAAAAGTGCCCAAAAGAGTTGGTCTTTTAAGTGTCTTCACTCCCACCCACCACCCACCCCCACTGGTCCCTGTTCACCAGGAACAAACATCTCACACCTAGGCGACCTCGCAGATTCCAGCAACTTCAGAAGCTGCCCCCAAATTTTCCTCTGTCCGTCTGTTGGGTCATGCCGTCCTGTCCCTTAACTATGCCATGGCACTGAAGTCAAGGGCAAAAACCACAGGTTATAAATCCCTTCGGCAAGGCACGCAACGGGGGGAAGGGAAGAAGGCTCCTTAATCCTTGCTAAGAGAACCGCTTCCAATCTCCTTCCTGCCAACTTTTCTTACAACGTCGCAACCGAGAAACCAACCTATTGTTTTCTTCGCTTCCTCTGCAATTTAACCAAGGGGAGCGCCGCCCCGACGAGACAGCCTTCTAGGCCAAACCCCCGTTGCAAATAAAAAACCGTGTACCCATTTCGCAGCTCTTGCAAAAAGGCTCTAATCTGACCCTCGCGGCTGCTGTGGCCCAAGGATTTGCACCGCTTTTGCAGAGATGCAACCAGAGGATATTCCCCGCATTTCTGCAAACTAGCCCTCTCCTCTTTTTCTTCCTCTACCCGCCGACCAGCCCTCCCCAAAAGCACCGCTCGATGCAGACACCGATCTCCGCTCACCAGCAAGCAGGCTCAGGGTGACTGGGAGGGAGCGAAGGAAGTGCTTTTGGCAGCGGAGCTCCCCTCTTCCGCCGCTGCCGACTGCGAGGGGGAAGGAGCCCTTCTCTATGGTGTTTAACCATTTCCCCTTAAAGAGGCAGCGGACGGGGCTGCAGGACGCGACGCTCCGAGCGCCACCGAAGCCGAATTGTGTGTGTGGGGGGGGGGGTGCTCGCCAGGCTCCTGGGGCGTCTGTGCGTGACTCACCGCTCGGGTGGTGCCTCGAATGCACGGATCGCGAATCATTAAGGGATGCTTCATAAGGAATAATGGTGTATCATCATACCTACGGTCTGACCTAAGCGTAGTACCCAAAATTGTCTGCTACAGTGTCCTACTACTTCAGCTTCAACCACAATAATACACGGGCAAACTCAAACTCAAGGTAAACCACTCCAGCTCGATTGCAGAAAATACGACTTCAGCAACAGAGTGGTCAATGCCTGGAATGCTCTACCTGACTCCGTTGTTACAGCCTCAAACCCCCACAGTTTTAACCTTCAACTGTCTACTGTTGACCTCATCCCATTCCCAAGAGATCTGTAAGGGGCCTGCATAAGGGCACCAGCCTACCTAACCTCCCTGTCCTACTGTCCCCATTTATTTGTATCCATTCCCTCTGTTCTTATTCATGTTTATTCTTATTCCTGTTATCTTGTACACGAGTGACAAACTAACTAAATAAAAATAAATAAATAATGCATGGAAACTGATCATGGGAAGATTCAACCTAGAAATAAAAGAAATTTCCTGGCTGCGAGAACTATCCATCAAATGAGCAGCTTGCCTTTGTGGGAGCTTCATCACTGGAAGAAGAGACTGGACTGCCATCTGTCAGAAATGGTGTAATTGGGTCTCCTGCTTGGACAAGGGGTTGGACTAGATGGCCTACAAGGTCCCTTCCAACTCTCTTAAAGGCAGCGAAAGCATCGTTGGAAGAGGCACCGCGATGCCGGCGGGGAGAAACTGATCCGGGAGTGAGGCTTTGTGGATGGAGGCTTTGAGATCTCAAAGATTCAGTGCCGACGCTTTTTGTCATTCCTATCCAAATTGGAAACTCTGCTTGTCTCTATTCCATGCTTCCACAGGTGGCACGATATCACTGACCTTGGCAGTTCTCAACACAAGCTAAGCAAAGTCAGATCAAGTTATTATCTGGATGGAACATCACCAGGAGATCCTGGGACCGTACCGTATGAGCTGTTCTCTGAAACGCCCAAGCTATTTTCCAAAGCATCTGAAGGCAGGATAAGCAATGGATGGAAGCTAGTGAAGGAGAGAAGCAACCTAGAACTAAGGAGAAAATTCCTGACAGTTAGAACAATTAATCAGTGGAACAATTTGCCTCCAGAAGTTGTGAATGCTCCAACACTGGAAGTTTTAAAGAAGATATTCAGACCACTTGTCTGAAATGATATAGGGTTTCCTGCCTGAGCAGGGGGGTTGGACTAGAAGACCTCCAAGGCAGGGGTAAAATTCAGCAGGTTCTGACAGGTTCTGGAGAACCGGTAGCAGAAATTTGAATAGTTCAGAGAACCGGCAAATACCACCTCTGGCAGGCCCTAGGGTGGAGTGGAATGGAGATTTTGCAGTATCCTTCCCCTGCCATGCCCACAGAACCAGTAGTGGCAAAAAAACTGAACTTCACCCCTGCTCCAGAGTCCTTCTATTCCATTCCCACTCCATATTCCATTCTACTTTAGAGTGGTGGAATTCTGGGAGTGGAAGTCCACACATCTTAAAGTTGCCAAACTTTAAAAAATTGGAAGGTTGGTGTTGTCATTGTTTTGTGGAATCATACTTATGTTGAGATATGTGATTGTTATTTAGCAGAAACATAAAGGATCTTGGGCCCATATTTTTGCAACTGTTTGGTATATAAATTGACTAATAAATATGACTTCTGGATATCATCAAATTCTGCTCTGTGACTATAAGGTTGCATCTTGTGTAGGCCTTTATGGTTGGTTATAGCAGTGTTTTTCAACCACTGTGCCGTGGCACACTAGTGTGCCGTGACATAGTGTAAGGTGTGCCGTGGGAAAAATACTTTATATATAGTCAATA